TAGGGAGGCAGAACAGCTGAGCAGGAATAAAAGAAAAACAGGAGAATAAAGCCTGGCATGACCCACTTCATAAGAAAATGGGCAATTTAATAGATATTCTTGGACATGTACAAAATGGGGATCCAGCTCAGGCTCCTTTCTCAACACACATGGGAGCTGTGCCACAGACTGAGGTGGGAAGAGATCCAGTCTAATGCAAGCACCACACACAGCAAGGGGCTTCTGCTGGGAATCTAGGACTTGTCTGTCATTATTCAGAAAGTGAAACAGTTTTAATGTATAAATTGTTAATGCATGTCCAGCTCTACAATGGGACATTCAATATATACACAGAAATGAACACTCCTGCTGATTTAAGGTGCAGGATGACACCAGAAAATGAAGCAGCTTTTACTAGAACAAAACCTGCCCTTCAGAAGCAAGTTCCAGAGCACAGCCTGGGCATCTTCTTCACTCTTTATAAACCAGTAGTACAACAAGATAAAGCCAATCATCCCTTTGGTAATTTTCTACAAGATGATTATGTATAAGGTAAAGAGTTCCTAAAATTCTTTCACAAATGACATATTTTCCATGCTTACTAGAAACCAGCCCCGTTCTTCACTCTTACTTACCATATGTTTACAGACTGGAGTTTTTGCATGCTCAGACACTGGTCAACCAGCCAGAAGGAGAACTGAGCATATGTGAATGCAGGATGTTCTTGTGGTTGCTTACATGATTACCCAAAGAATCACAAGAGGACTTTTATTGTATTTGCAGGGTGCCCCATCAAAGGAAGGAATGATGCAGCTGACTCCATGTTCTCAGAAGGCTAATTCATTATTTTATAATACTATATTGTATTAAAGAATGCTATACTAAACTATACTAAAGAATACAGAAAATATACTTATAGAAGGCTAAAAAGATAATAATGAAAACTTTTGACTCTTTCCAGACACAGCTTGGCCCTGATTGGCCAAAGAGTGAAAACAACTCACAGCAGAATCCAATGGAACAATCACCTGTGGGTAAACAATCTCCAAACACATTCCACATGAGCACAACACAGGAGAAGCAAATGAGATAAGAATTGTTTTCCTTTTTCTCTGAGGCTTCTCAGCTTCCCAGGAGAAAAATCCTGGGTGAAGGGATTTTTCAGAAAATGTGAATGTGACAGACTTTTATTCTGGTTGTGCTACCATTCACTGCCCGACTGTGGTCACATCACATCACAGACTGCACTTGGGTTCATCCAGTTGTCCCAAGAACTTGGAGAGCAGTGACAGGCAGGCACCATGTCCCAGGAAAACCTGGGAGTGTCCAGAACTCCTCCCAGCCCGTGCCAGGGCTCACTGGGGGCTGTAACACAAGCCAGGGCTGGCAGGGCAGCACGGCCACACTGCAGCCCCCGCCCGGGAGCCATTCCAGACGGGGCAGCACGCGTCAGGCTGGAGCCATCCAGACTGCCTGGAACCACAGGCTTAGTGCCCTGGCAGGATTAACACAGCCCTGCACCCCTGGAGGCTGCTTAGAATCCTCTCTCATCAAAATGTCAACCAAGGAGCTCCCACAGAAACATCCCAGCTCAGTCTGTGATCATCAAAGTACACGATCAGGGACACATTACCTCATTGCTCAGTCTGGGGAAGGCACAAAAAGCCCTTCCTGCGGATCACAGCCAAGGCAGGAGTACCTTTACCTGACTTTACCTTTTTAAGATACCCACAGTATATTAAAATAATGAATTAGCCTTCTGAGAACATGGAGTCAGATTCATCATTCCTTCCTGCCACGGGGTTCCCTGCAAATACAATAAAAGTCCTCTTGTGATTCTTTGGGTAATCTTTGCCATTGGCAGCAAATTACCCTTGAAACATTCCATTTGTACCAAAAAAAGGTACCAGAGAGAAGCACAGATTCCACCAGAGAAGGGAGTCTCACAGACAGACCAAGCAGATGTGCTGTTTGCAGCTTGGGTGTCTTACCCACCCCATACCCAAACATGTCCTTAGCCCTGCACTCATCCATGGACTAGATTTAAAGTGGAAAAATATCTCAAGTCTTTTGGGGGAAGCTGTGGAAGGGAAATTTAAAAGAAAACTCCTGCTCATGTCTAAGAGCTCGTTCAGGTAAAGATTTTCAGGCAGATTCACATCACACCTTAAGAGCAAAAGCCCTTTTTTTTTTCCTTTCCTTAGGAGTCTTCCTCCTTCCCTTGCCCCTACATTTTACCCAGGAGGCTGGCAGGTCCTGCCCAAACTCCCCACCTCAGTTCAGGCCATGCTGCCAGCCCTCTCCCAGCACTCAGCAATCCCAGGAACCTGGCTGCAGACCAGGTGAGCACAAGGCAGCAGCCTCCAACCCACCAGTCCCTATGAGGTTATATCCCAGATCCACCAGCTGACAGCTCCAGCACAGCTAATGCCACAGGAGGGGCCAGCCTACCGATTCCCCCAAGCATTCCATTTGATTCCAGGTGAAATGGGCACCACCCATAAGAGCAGACAAAAAAATTTACACCTGTCTGTCTGTCCATCCCTCCCCAGGCACTGGGTTGGGCCTCTCTCCCTGACTGAGCTGCTGGTTTTCCTGAAGGAAAAGATCCCAATAATCATTAAGACTTTAACCTCTGCCAGATTTGTTGTATTAGCCTATAAATACTGGCTTGAGATTAGCCAAGGGCTTTCAACACTTTGGTGACTAAAAATATCTAATACACACACAGCAGGACTGCAGAAGTTTCATTTTTTTGAGAGAAAAGCCCAAACCAACATGCAGGTGACTGAGGAGCACCCAGGGCAGGGCAGGTCTGGCCCATGTGAGCAGAAATGAGCAGAAATAAAAGCTCCTGGCACTGCACCCAGGGCTCAGTTCAGCCCAGCACGCTGCTCCCCAGCTGCCCACCACTCTCCCACTTTAGCTGACACCCAGCATCTCCAGGGGATGTGCTTCAACCTTTGTGTGGCATGAAAATGCATCATAAAATGAGCCCCAGTGTCAGGAGAAATGTGTGTGTATTAAGATATACTCGCTGATAACAGCTGCCCAGGAAGATGCTGGGAAACACTTCAGGGTTTAATTAAAAGCGGGCACAAGACAGGAGGCATTAGTGCCCAGCAGGGATCATCAAAGCACGCCAGCTTTGGTGCAGCAGAGTGATACTCAAGCAACAGGGAAGATCAATATGCACCACTTGTTCTCAGCTCTGCTCCAAGCCTCTTCAAAGGAAATCTTTATGAGCTAAAATTTAAAAGCATTATTACCCTCCCTCACCTTGTCTCTTGCCATTTCTTTTCTGGGAGCTTGTTGTTCAACAGGGAGGTTGGATAGGACACAAGAAGACAGTGAAACCTGTCCACAGCAGTAGGGTTGGAACTAAATGAGCTTTAAAGTCCTTCCCAACCCAAACCATTCCATGATTCTGTGATTCTCTTCAGCATCACAGGACCTGTACCTTCCTTCTGAAAGCACGCAACTTTTTGAGAAAGTTTCCTCTACAGCACTAGAGTTTTATAGATAATGTAAATCCCTCAATTTAAAGCTGGAGGAACTTCTTCCAGGAAGAGCTCAGGAGAGAGGGTTAAGCATCCATCACAATAGATGAAAAGCCTTGTTTTGCCTCTCCAGAACAACCACCATCTGATGCCTCTATCAGCACAGAACAATAAAACCAGGCTTCAAAATGCCATTCCGGCAAATCTCTTCTTGCCAGAAAATGACAAATGATTCCTCCTCCACAGGTAACTCTACACCCCAGTGTCATCTCAACTACCTCATGCAAAGTGAAGATCACCAGCACTCTGCAGTCGATTACAGCCACACGAGATCAGCCCAATGGCCTATCAAATGTAATCCCCAAGACAGAAACCCGTGCCAGAAAACACATCCAAAACTCATCTAAGACAAGGAGTCTTTCCATCAAACTCCACAGGGTTTGAACAGAACTGCTCTCAAAAAAAAGTAAAAATAGTAAAACAACAACCCAAATTGAAACTTGTACCACCACACAAACTCTAAGCAATTGCAGTGGCATGACATAGCTAGGAATTGTGTTAGGAGATTGATATTCTCTTTTGTATTTCAATGCCTGCAAACATTGCCTTTAAACAGATTCACTGAACTATTTAGATTGGAAAACATGTAAAAGTGAGGAATGTGACTTCATTATCTAGATATATGATACATTCACAAGAGTTTAATTACGAAGTGCTTCATCCCCTTACCAGGTTAGTAGTAGAATATGCAATAAAAAAGTCTATTCTTATTATCTGTGTGTTACTTTCCTCTTTCAGTGCTGCCAGGCATTGTTGCCGAACTCTGAAAAGGCAAAACGGAACAACACTCTGCTCATCAACTTTCCCAAGTGCGGCAGACTTACTGCTTAACTAAGCAAAAGCCAAGTTCTGCTGGCTGTATCCCTCCAAGGTGTCATCTCTGCCTTTCCCTATGACAGCGCTCCCGAATTCATCCGCAAGATAACTCTTCCCGGGACAGAACTTACAGTGAATTCTGAATTCCCGTGTCAGAATTACAGTGAATTCACCCCCCGTCTGATGACCCCACACCTGGCCGGCAAAACAAACCTGCCAAAAACTACCGGGCAAAACAAACCTGCCAAAAACTGTCCGACAAAACAAACCTGCCAAAATCTGCCCGGCACTGCCTGCCTCCTGCCAAGGGAGCCTTGCCGCGGGGAGCGCTCTGCCCCGGCACTCAGCTCGGGGATGGCAGCGGTGCGATCGCGGGATGGAGCCCCGCGGCTGGCGGTGGGCACCGGTGTGTAGCACCACCTGCACGGTGCAGGAGCAGCAGTCCTGCCGCTCTTCCTTCCCGGGAAATGCTGAGTTCTTTCAGCCAGCGGCGTGCCCGGGGCGCTCGCTGCCGCTCCCCAGCCCGCAGGGAGGCAGCGGCACCGCGGGACCCCGGCTGAGGCGAGCGCGGCCGAGGCGAACCCGGCCCCCGCCCCGCAACCCTCCCGCGGCGGAGCGTCCACCCGCGAGTACCCCGGTACTGACCGGCCGTGGGCACGTCGGGGACCAGCTTGAGGGGCCCGATCTGCCGCAGCTGGAACGCCGTCCGCACTTCGTGGCAGCTGGGGGACCTGCCCGCCGCCACCGCGCCGCACAGCCCCGCCGCCAGCAGCCACAGCCCCAGGACGGCGCGGCTCCCGCCGGCGGCCATCTCGCACCCCGGCCACGGCCGCGGGCGGCCCGAGCGCTGCGGGGCGCGGGCCCTCAGCCGGTCCCGGCGGCGGCAGCGCTGCCCCCGCCCGCCGCCCGCGCTCCTCCTCGGCGGGAGCGGCCGCCGCCCCTCCCCGCCCCTCCCAGCGGGGCCCGAGGGGCGCCACCGCCCCCCGAGCGCGGCGGGGGCAGGGCCGGCAGCGGGCCGGGAGCCCCGGCAGCCCCGGCGGGGTATGGGGCGCGGGGCGGGCAGCCTTGGCCGGGACCGGCCCCGCGGGACGGCCGCACTGAAGTTTGCGCTGAGCATCGCTGCGGTCCCTGCAGAGCCGACCAGGGCAGGGCGAGGGACCGGCGGTGCCCGGAGAAAGGAGATGCGCGCTCTCGGCGTTGGGCTGCTCAGAACAGGTACGGGAGCAAACGGAGCAGGAGAAATAAAGCCCCGAGCACTGCAGGTTGCATACTCGTTCACGGTGTGCTTCGATCCTGAAATTCCTAGCAGATGACACGGAACGGTCTTCGTGAGACAAGTGTTAACTCCAGCCAAGTGTCCCTGCAGAGAATAGAAACTTTGCCCCAGGAAACGCATCTTTATACACCAAATGCAGGTATCAATTGCTCATTTGTACCGAAGCCGGCAGCCGTTCCATCCTGTGTGGCTCGGGGGACATAGCCCCCTCCTGGGGATCGCACCACCGTCAGAGAGGTGATCTGCGATCTTTCCACTGCCCTCAGCAAGCTCCGGTGTCAGCTGCTTTACCACACGTTTGAGAGCTATGCTCAACACCTATGAACATTTTCCATTTCACAAAAACATTCAATTTCCAGAGAAGCCAGACCCAAGCAGTCTCCCACAAAGAGTCCCATTTGCACAGTACCTCTCAGGCATATGGAGCACGTTACCAGCTACAAGAATGACTATTGTTTGGGGCCGTTATGTCTGATTTCTTGAAGGTTACTTGCAACCCTCAAGATGCTTCTAATGTGCTTCTGGAGCAGCAGGGGAGCCCACCTGCAGCTAATTTAACCATTATACATTCCCATAGGTCGTAATGAGAGGCTGAACTCGAGTGCTGAAGTTGCCGAAGTTGTATTTTAATAGCTAGAAGCACAAATCCTTTAAGCAATTTACTTGTATTAACTTTGTTCCTATCAAGACAACAAGAGATTAATTTGCCCTTTTTTGGGGGGAATAAAAACCACAAGCAATTTGATGTAGACCATTTAACTTATAAACTAAAAGAAAAAACAAACTGGAAGAACAGACCAGCCGTATAATCAGGCTTCTTAATTCAAAAGTAGAGAACAAGTCACCTTGAAAGCCCTCTGCTCACCCAGTTTAGAGCTGCAGTCCCCAGCTCATCCTGCAGCTTTCCAAGGTCACACAAGAGCCCAGGACATGATGGAGCAAGCCAGCACACCAAAAGTGCAGAGCCCATGGACACAGAGACAGGTTATACAGCCAGCAAGGCTGAAGTTACACACACACACACAAGTGAACAAATCAAGGTGCCAACAGGTAGGTTAAAGAGAGATGAGGGAATATTCAGCATCAGTGACAGAACAAATCAGCATCATAAGGCACAGTACCCCAGCTATTGCCAAACTATTGTCCATCGTGTGGGTTTGTGAACCCAAGGAAGATGTTATAACAAGTTGCCCCCAGTTGCATTTTGTTTAACCTCAGGCCCAATCCTAAAAGACTTTATTCAGACAATACCTCCATTTGACTTCAGTGGGAGTTCTGCCAGAAAAGAAACGGCAGGATGATGGATCTGACAAATAATTTACTTGACAAATAACAGCATTATTTGGCACATACATTATTCTATGAATAGCATCGGATCAGTCCTGTGCAAGGGCTTGAGGCATTTAATTCAGTGGGGGTTTTGCTATTGTTTTCAGTGGGTGGCAAATTCAAATCCCTAGTTCTTTCCTAACATGATTTTAGTGCCTCGTCTTTGTATGATGGGTGTTCTTTTCATCACCTGTCTTTTTAAGTTATGTCACTTATTTGTAAGTGGCCCTCATATTGTTAGCAGAGGACAGCCCATTACATCATCTCCAGCTCCCCTCCCTGCCTCAAAATCCTGCTAAGGAACCAGAATTATTCCTGTGCCCAGCAGAAAACTCAGTGAAGTGGAATGTCCATACATGTAATACTGGTTACTTCATTGCATAAGGAAACATTTACATTTCTTGTGATTTTGTGATATCTATACTGAGAAGCATTAAATAAAGATGGTGTGTTTCAGGCTGGAACTTAATTTTTTTCCCCTCTTCCAAAAGAATAAAAGTAGATCCCTCCACACACTGCTCAGGTGTGTGGTTTTGCCACTGATTCTATCCATGACAATGAGGTGTAACAATGAGATAGCTGTTATCACCTGAGCTGCCCCAGGTGATGTGCATGCACACAGCCCACAGGTAATTACACCCTTTGCATCCCGGGGGTGACACTAACCTGTCACACCTCCTGACACTGCTTAGGTGACAAATGAGAACCTTCTGGCACCACTGAGCATCCAAGATTGCTGCTTAAACCCAGCAAGGGAAAAGTGACAGGGGCTCCAGGGCTCTGTCCCTACAAAGGGATCCTCAAACCCAGCATGGTGTTTGGCTTCCCAGAGGGCTGGGAACACTCACCACAGGCAGGATGCAGTGGGCTCCATGGAATTCAGCCCCCATTTCTCCAAAACACACACACAGCAGGGCAGTCAGAGTGGCTGGAGTGGAGGTGGGCAGGTGCTTAATGGCAAGCACACGCCTGAGGGCTGTGCTGGAGCAGGCTGCAGATAACACCAGAGCTCTTTAGCCAATTATTGTACATGACATTCTGCCACACTTGAGCAATTTGCTTGGAACAATCACAGTTTACCTTGTCAACAGGTGCCTTGTATTTTAACAAATGAATATTTATCAACTGTACACCACTGAGAACTGTATCAGTACTTCTTACAATGAATGGCCACATAAATCTGCCCAAACAATCTGCTCAGCCTAATCCTGCTAAAGTGACCACAGCACTCAGCATGAGCTTTGGATGTGTAAGAAAAGCTGGGATCAGGCTTAGAAACGGGGTTTTGTGTGCCTGCTGCCTCAGCCCTTCTCTGGCTGAATATAGCTGGAGCTGTGCCAGTGATTTAAATGGAAGCTGGACTAATTCCCTTATGGTTAAAATAAGCTCAATCTCCAACTGGACTTTCCACCAATGGGACTTAATGGGCACGAGGGCTGCTCTTGCCAACTTGGCTTCCCAAGGAAAGAGTTGTTTGTGTCTCAGCCATGCCAGGAAAGCCAGCAGTCCAGTCTGCACAGCCTTAGTTTATCTCTGGAGGTCCAATTCTTCAAGGTACATGTTTCACTGAAGCACCTGAAGAGCTCAGTGGGCAGAAGTAAAATTAAGGAACCTATTTATGTCAAATGACACGCTGATTTTCATTTTTAATTTTAATCATCCTCAAAAGAAGTGTAAAACCCTCCATCTTTAATTAAGACTAGTTTCCTTTCTCAGGGTTTTATAATTTTCTGGTGTTTCTCCTTTTAAGAAAGTTAAATTTATTTTCTGAAGTCAGAGCAAACTTTAAAGCTGAGTATGAAATTTTAAATATAGATCTTAATAGTAAAAAAGTCATGCATGAAATATTCATAAATATGCCAGGACTAAAAAGCACTGCTAGAAAATTATTTCTGGTGATTTTACTCAAAATTTTCTCATCCTGTTAAATGATGAACATATGAACCTATTAGAAAAATTACCAGTCTTTGCCTACCTTTTTTTTTTTTTGCTTAGAGATCCCATTTTCTTCTCTTCTCCTTCCCCCCCAGTACTGAGCACAAAGAGAATGGTCATGCTGCCACACCATGAATTGTTTCCCATGCTGCATGTACTCCACACAGAAAAATGTGAGCAGCCCTTTTTGATGGTCAGAATGCAGTATTCCTGTGCTGCCTCATTATTTCAGGGATATTTTTCACTTTACCAGACCTATTGAAATGCACACCTTAGAAGTGCATTAGTGGTTATTTTTCCCCTGAAAAAACCCCATCATACCTGAAAAGCATGGCCATTAACTGTACCATAACACTATTTTGACAAAAATTATTAGACCACCAACTAATCAAAGATCTATGGAAAAAATACAATTGATGTGACAACTCAGCAAGTCAGGACAGCCACTAGTTGAGAGAAAACATCCTATAGACAATTCTGAAGACATTTCCACTTTTTCATCTTTTTCCAGTGCTTCAAGAGTGTGAGAACAATTATTTTGTATCAGACCAAAAATCCTTCAGCCCCTTGACTTATCTCCTGTGGCAGAGATCAGACCTGCTGTGCTTATTTAGAGATTACACCGTGTACAGCATTTCAGAGTTCTCCCTCTCTAGATGTGTTCCAAGTCCCATCCTGGCCCCCAGAGACTGCTGTGAGCTGAGAACATCAGCCTAAACTCCTAGAGCAGCAGCTTTTTGGTTATAGAAACCTGCCCTGAGAAATAGTTATCTCAAAATCTCACTGGAAATGTGAAGGAGGAAAAGGCACAGATTTTAATGACTCAGAAAAACAGCACCTCCCAGGGCTGATGAGCGATACAACCCAAGAGGAACACCATGGGAAGGTGACTGCGTGGTATCAGCCTTCCCATCTCAGCAATACCAGCTCTTTCTGTCTGAATTCTTCCCCAAGCATCCTGGTCACTGAGCAGCTGAGAAAATGAATATACTCTTTGCCCTCACCTGCATGGCTCAGCATACAAATTGATTTAACTGGGACAAGCTAGAGTATTCTGAACTTTCTCATGTGAGAAGCTGCCACACAGCCCAAGGGAAATCAACAAGATTACTCAAGGAGTAAAAGCTGCATAACACCAGCAGAAGCATCTAGCTCTGGCTTTGCTTACTTCAAAATACTAATGAGGGAAATAAGTTTCATATTGAAAAAGTCAGACTGGATACCCAGGGAAGAGGGATGTGCGGACAGGCTGTGACAGGGCATTCATGCTT